GTTTTTCATTTAGTATGTCACTCTTAGTTTTCAGAGTAGCCAATAATCTCACACAACAGTAACGATACCAATTAACAATGTTATTCAATTACAAGTAAATAGTATGGCGCAATCAAACTACTCCTAAAAGTACTTAAAAGAAAGTTCCAAAATTAAATGTAAGTTACTACCTACTTTTTTCCAGAAGTATACAATGTAAAGAAAGTTCTACAAATACTCATACAATATTTGACAACTTCTCAATTGTATGAAAGTAAAAATAAATAACACCTTTTCCTTGTGAGCATTTATCAAATATAATAACATCCGAAATGATCTAAAGCAGGGAATGTCTGATCTGATCTATAGTCCATAGGAATTAAAGTATTTTATTAACCTGTATTTAAACTATTAGTATTGATAGTATCCATCCAACCTCCTCCAGCTGCTCTGGGGGGACCCGGAGGCGCCACCAGGCCAGCTCAGAGACCTAGTCCCTCCACGCTGGAGGTGTGACACTTTGCCAATGGAACGGGACAATTTACACTTAAAATAAGGAAAAACTATTGCATTGTCTTATTTCAGTCCCAGATTATTAATGTGAAGTATTAAAGACATATTATCCAATCTGGCAGCCAAGTAAAGAATATATTCAGGCAAGATTTCAGAAAAACAATAATTATTGTCATTTAAGTCTGAATCAACTGAGTTATGGTACAAAATACACAAATAAAACCCAGAACACGACTTTTCATGATGCTAATTGAAGCAGGCATAACACACTGGTGTGCCTTGAATTTTGGTGCTTTTGCACAACCTAAATGTTCTTGAATTTTCGTGCAGACAGAATAAAATCTATGGTTTCATCAAACAAAATCAGGCATCACTCTATCACAGGAATACTAAACCAACAAACTCTTTGAGGAAAAGCTCTGGTAGTTTCACTAGAAATTCAGTGAGATGCACATTTAAAAAAAACTTTCTGTTTTATCTTTTGAATCCACAGAATATTTCCCAGAAGTCTTTAATCATTGAGATGTTGTTAAGCAGATATGAGATGCTTATATCTCTTATAGCTGAATCATGAACTGAGACAAGTGATTCCTGGAGAGCTTTGTTTGTTGCTTTAGGATCTTTACTGACCTCATGGATGACTTTTCAAACTTCTCTGAGTATCTTTAGCTGCTCGACCTCTCCCACAGGGTCACAGTTGTTCCATGTATTCTCCGCTGTTAGTATCTTTCTGGGTTATATGCAGAAGCTAATAACTTGTTTGAATCTTCAGACTGATAGATGTTGGAAACAAGATTAATTTTTCTTGTTGTCAACCTGGTTCTGTTTAATAACATTTCTTATTTTGATTGAGCATAGTGGATGTGGCTGGCAGACTGTTTTCCCAAACACAATATGGTTATTTTATGAAAATTATGGTATAAACATTGCTTTCCCTGACAAAAGAAAGTTATCATTAAACTGTAACTTTTATTTGTACGATAATCTAAAACACAAAGAAGTAAATACAAATGAAATGTTATAGAAGATAATTTTAACAGCAGTTTCACTCCATCCAGAGCAGATGTATTGATTTTAATGCAGTGCCTAACATTACAGTGAAACCGGCATAAAGATGAAGTTAGAAGTAGCAAATGGTAAATTATTAATCTTTTTATTTGGTTATTTTATCACTATGGTGTTCATTACAACAGGCAGGTGTGTTTAAACTACAGTCTAAGACCTCCCTTTGCAAATATTTACTTTTCAGGACCTGGTTTCTAAAAAACAGGAAATTACCTGAAAGTAATTTTAGTTTAAACCATATTTAT